CAGATACTTGAATAGAATGTGTGTTCTTCTGTGGTCAAGTAGATTGTTTTATGAATGTCAATTAGATCCTACTGGTTGATGATGTTGAGCTTTTTTATATCCATATTGATTTTCTATTTAGTTGTTCTATCAGTTGCTGAGAGAAGTGTGTTAAAGTCTCCAGCTATAATTGTGACTTTATCTATTTCTCCTTTCAGTTCTATCAGCTGTGCTTCACGTATTTGGCAGCTCTGTTGTTTGATCCATTCACATTTAGAATTGCTATAATTTCTTGGTAGATTGACCCTGTTATCATTATATAACGTCCCTCTCTCCTCTGAAGTCTACTTTATCTATATTACTAGAGCCATTTCTAATTCATTTGATTAATGTTTGCATGACATACCTTTTTCCATCCTTTTCCATTCAACCTGCCTTTATTTGAAGTGAGTTTCTTGAAGACTTTGAATTGGTATATTTAAATAATTTGCATTTAATGTAATTATCAATATGTTAGGACTTTAGTCTGCCATTTTATTTTGTTTTGTTTGTTCTGTTTTTCATTTCTTTGTATCTTTTTCCTGTCTCCTGTGTGTTACTTGAGCATTTTTAAATATTCCATTTTGATTTATCTATGGTGTTTCTGAATGTATATTTTGTATAGCTTTTAGTGGTTTCTCTAGGCATAATATTACATATACATAACTGATCATAGTCGACTGGTGGTGTCATTTTACCATTTGAAGTGAAGCACAGAGACATTACCTTCTTTTATACTCCCACCTTTATAATATAATATACTATTATTTCCTCTACATACATTTAGAACAACAGGCAGTGTTATAATTTTTACTTCAACCATCAAACAATTTAGAAAGCTCAAGAGGCAAAGTAAAGCCGATTGTATTTACTCATACTTTTTTTTTTTTACCGTGTTCTTTCTTCCTTCCTGATGTTCCACAATTCTTTCATTTATTATTTTCTTTCTGTTTAGAAAAATTCCTTTACCTATTCTTTTAGGGTAGGTCTGCTGGTAACAAATTCTTAATTTTTCTTCATTTGAGAATTTCTGGATTTCCCCTTCTTTCTGGAAGGATATTTTTGCTAGATATAGGATTGGGTCTACAGGTCTTTTCTTTCAGCACTTGAAAAATATTCTGACACTTCCTTCTAGCCTCCATGGTTTTTGATGATAGAACTACTGTTATTCTAATTGTTTTTCCCTATAGGTAAAGTGTTGTTTTTCTTTGGTTACTTTCAAGATTTTTTTCTGTGTCTTTAGTTTTCAGAAATTTAATTGGGATGCATTTTGGTGTGGATTTTTTTGAGGGGCTTATCCTGTTTAGGGTTTGCCCATCTTCTTGAATCTGAATTTATGTTCTTGCCAAATTTGAGAAGTTTCCAGCCATGAGTACTTTTTTAGCCCTCCTTCTTCTCTCCTTCCAGGACTCCGATAACACAAACGTTCACTTTTTTGTTAAAGTGCCATGGGTGCTGAGGCTCTGTTCTTTTTTTTTTTTTTTTTCAGTCTTTTTGCTTTCTGTTTTTCAGATCAGCTAATTTCTATCGTTTTATCTTCCAGTTCTGTAATTCTTTCCTCTGCTAACCTCCATTCTGCTGTTGAGTCTATCTATTGAACTTTTTATTTCAGTTATTGTCTTTTTCATTTCTAACATTTCCATTTGGTTCTTCTTTCCATTTTCTATCTCTGTGCTGAGACTTTCTATGTCTTTGGTGAGGCTTTTTCTATTTTTTTATTTGTTTCAAGCATGTTCATAATTGCTCACTGAGACATTTGATCATGGTTTTATCATTTTAAAATCTTTGTCAGATTACTCTAACATTTACGTCATCTCAGTGTTGGCATCTATCGATTGTCTCTTTTTTTAATTAACTTTGAGATCTTCCTAGTTCTTGGTATGATGAGTGATTATCAATTGAATCCTGAACATTTTCGTATTCTGTTACGAGACCCTGAATCTTATTTAACCTTCTGTTTTAGCTTTTTTTTTTTTTTTTACACCACTTCTTTATTGCCAGGTAGAGGTATAAATCCAGGTTCTCTACTCAGCTTCCATTGACACCTATTGGAGAGAGAGGCTCCTCATAACTCCTGGGTGGGGGTAGGAGTTTTGGCTCTCCATGTGGTCTCTACTGAAACTACAGTGGGGGTGTCTTGTGACTGCTGGGTGACGGTGAAAGTCCTGGCTCTCCACTAAGCCTCCTTGGACATTACCCAGGTGGTAAGGGGAAGGGGCACTTGGTCACTGCCAGGTGTGTATGAAAGTCCAGGCTTCCCATATTATCTGGAACCCATTTTTTATGGAGCACCCAGTCCTACATTTCAGGGGATGGTTTGGGGAAAACTGCCCTCTACCAATGTCACTCTTCCTGCCTGTCCATCCTACTGCCATCCTGCTGCCCGGCAGCAGGTCGTTTTGATAAAGTGCGTATAGTTTGTCATGTACATGCTTCTGGGAATTCAGAATAAATTAGGAGGACTAAATCAAAAGACATTCAAAAAGAATTCTTATTTTCTTAATTTTGAGACCATCTCTGTACTTCACAAAGCAGAGTAAGGCATTTATTCTTCAGACAATGGTTGCTGCACAAAAGGTTGCTGCATTCTAGTGTCCCAGGCCCATGTGCTATGAACAGCTAGACTCTATGCTACCACCACTCTCTGTGTTTTTATTGTCCTAAAATTCCAAAGTTGTGAATGGGAACATTGTTAAGGAAAAATGGGTAGGATTGGTCCATTGAGAAATTATAACAGTCCAAGATAAACCAATTTTTAAAAAAACCTGTTGCTGTCCAGTTGATTTCAACTTACAGCAACCATAGAGGACAGGGTAGAACTACCCCATAGGGTTTCCAGGTAAATCTTTACAGGAGCAGACTGCCACACTTTTCTCCCACGGAGCAGCTGGTGGGTTCAAACCACCTACCTTTTGGTTAGCAGCCGAGTGCTTGACCACTGCACCAGCAGGGCTCCTTTTAAGGTGTTTGTTTGACTGACAAACTCAAAATCATCCTAAAGAAAATAAGGCTAAATAATCACTAGAGGATTTTTCATTATTGACTTCTTCACAAAGAAACCTTCAAAATGTGGCTACATGGGTTCCTCAGAGGGAAAGCCTAGATGTGACAATAAATGAAATTCCTAGATCTTTTCGTATTATACCCAGGTTAGATATTTGTAAAAAGACCACTGAGGCAAATTAGTTTTTAATGGCATTCCCCTTTCAACCTAAGTACAGGTATGGGTGACCCAGTCAGCAGATGTCTACATAGCACCTATATAAAACCCTTTAAAAAAAAAAAAAAAAAACAAAACCTAAAGTCCCTGTATCAATGGTTCACAAACCTGGCTGCATATTAAAATCATCCGTGGCTTTAAATGCAGGCTACAGTGCAGATCAATTAAATCAGAATCTCTGGAGGTGTCAAACATCTATAGTTTTTACAGTGCCCCAAGTGACTCCAACATGCAATCAAGGTTGAAAATCTCTGGCCTCAAACCCATTGCCATTGAGTCAATTCCAATTCATAGTGACCCTGTAGGACAGAGTAGAACTGCCCCCATAGGGTTTCCAAGGAGTGGCTGGTAGATTCAAACTATTGACCTTTTGCTTAGCAGCCAATCTCTTAATGACTGTGCCACAAGAGCTCCATCACTGGCCTAGACCTTTACTATTCAGTTGTGATCCTCCAACCACCAAGCATGGGCACTACCTGGGAGCTTGCTGGAAATGCAGTCTCAGGCCCCATCCAGACTCATTGGATCAGAATTTCCATTTAACAAGATCCCCAGGTGATTTAAGTGCACACTAACTTGTGAGAAACACCTCTAGATTTTATGGCTGTGAATTCCTCCAGAGAAACAAAAAGGTCCTAAAGGGGCTTCAACTCCCTCCACCCCAACAAGTCTAAGAGCACATTATCATCACAGTGAAACTGAGCATCAAAAGAGTTGGGAGGTGAAGAAAAACCCTCTGGGAACTTGGACTGCTGTCATCTTGGAATAACATTTTCTAGCTCTCATTCATATAATGTTTAGATATCTACTGCAGACTGCACTTGTTGCTAGACCTTGACTTTGCTTCAGCTGTGATTCAGCTCTATCTCCTGTCAGAAATTATCCTTTCTAATGAGTTATCACTGGAATAATAAGAATGACAATAACTGTGAGGCTTATTTATGGAGCACCAATAAGTATATGCATTATCTTATTTAACCCCCTTAACAACTCTGTGGAGGCCTGGTGGTGCAGTGGTTAAGAGCTGGGGTGCTAACCAAAAGGTTGGCAGTTCGAATCCACCAGCTGCTCCTTGGAAACCCTGTAGGGCAGTTCTACTCTGTCCTGTAGGGTTGCTATAAGTCAGAATCGACTCAACAGCAAGAGGGTTTTTTTTTTTTTTTTGGTTTGAACAACTCTGTGAGGTAGATATTGCTACAATTGAAGGAAGTCAAGTCTCAGGTCAATAGCTAGCTCAAGGTTGCAAACCTAGCGGTTGGCAGTACAAGACTCAAATTCAGGTCTTTCTAGCTCCTCTGGCATGCTTTTATATTTTCCTCCTGAAGGAAGTTAATCGAATGGGGTAAAACTTGGTGAGCAGCTGTACATTTCAGCCAAGAAAGTATTTCTCCTTAGTCATTATCAGAACAGATAAAGTTACCAGTCAAGGGCACCCCAAAAGGCAGGGGAGTGGCAAGAAACGTATGGCCACTGGCCCAGGTTCGCCTTGGGAGAGAAAGTGGAAGGGCACCTGATAAAAAGAGAACCTTCCAGGGCTCAGTGGAGCCTGCACACGATCCCTGATGTTTGCAAAGGGTGATAGCTGAGAGCTGGATGATAACACCTCTTAGGTACTTTCCTTGGACTAATTACCCACAATTCCTTTGACCTCTAAAAGAGGAGACTATAAAAATCCCAAGAAAGAGATTTTCTTTTCTCAGTCTGAGGTGTAAGTAGACTCTCCCATTCTTCGGGAGGAGAAAAGCTTCTGAAATAAGGGATAATGGCAGCTTTACAAGAAAAAAAGACTTGCAGCCAGAGGATGGAAGAATTCCAGCACTACTGCTGGAACCCAGACACGGGGCAGATGCTGGGACGGACTCTGTCTAGGTGGGGTACGTGCTGATGGTTGGGATGGTGTTGGTGAGGCTGGTGTTAAACGGTCAACTCAGTGAGCTCTAGGCCTGAGGGCCAGGGTGTGATGGCTAGAAGGGGAGGAGGGATAGGGACTGTGCTGAGACTGAGTCTGATGAAGGCTCTGTAACAAAGGAAAGCAGGAGAAAGAGGACTATTAATTAGGCCAAGTTTGGAGCTTGGGTATGTTCAGGGCACATCAACCCCAAGGCTCTGCCACTGGCTATGTGTGACTTCAGGCAAAAGGCTGTCTCTCCTGGGCTTCGCTTTCCTCAAGGGAGGGGTTTAATCAGACGGTCTCAAAGGTCCATTTCAGTTCTAAGATTCTCTGATTCTACGACGTCTGCAATGTATGAAAATTCTGAGAATTGGCCTCTGTCCCAACATTTTCAGCCTTGTATTTGCGATCAGCATTTCTAAAACTATGTTCCAAACTGATAATAATTTTTAAACAGAATTTTAAAAAGGGGTGGTAGTGGTTCTTTGGTCAAATAGATTTGGGAAACAGGGATTTATTTAATTAAGTTAAAAAATTGGTTTATTTCCAGACTTCTCCAAGCCCGTAATGCGCTAATGGGTCCTGGAAGACATTGTATTTGAATTTCCCAAACTTATTTGGCATGAGATCCCTTTCTTTCAGGGGTTGGTGCTGGGTGCCAACGAGTTGATATCAACTCATACTGACCCACGTGACAGAATAGAACTGCCCCAAAGGGTTTTCTAGGCTATAATCTTCATAGAAGCAGATTGCCAGATCTTTCTCCTGCAGAGCCTCTGGGTAGGTTCAAACCACCAACCTTTCGGTTAGCAGCCAAGTGCTTAACCATTGCACCACCAGGGCTCCTTCTTTCATGGATGCACCTCTTAAAGAGCTCCTGGAACCAGTGTTCTGCAGTCCACTTAGGAGGCAAAGGCCCCAGCTGACGGGCAGGAGTTGGCCTCACTCCCTCATCTGAGCACAAAGAGTGTAAAGTCACTTAGGTCCCTTCTTTCCCAGGTTGAAAGCAAAAGAAAAGACCTGTCTGATTGAAGATTTTGTGAGAAGGGACAGCAATTGAGAACCTGTACTCAGGCATTGCTTTTACATGTTACTGTGGGGGTGGAAATTTCCTAAGTCAAGTCTCTGAAGAACAAAAAGTACCTCTGAACCTCTACCTCAGCCTTATTTCACCCCTCCCCCCCAAAAAAATTTCCCTTTACAAGTCCATCCCAAGACCTAACAATGGGATGTGATGTCTATCACAATCGGCCTTAGGAATGGTGTTTCTAAGACAAAATTCCCCCAGACACTCTTTGCCTTAGGTCTGAAAACTCAGGGAGACTGTATTTTCTGCTCCTCTTAGCTAGGAAGGAGTTTCCCCTTTTAAAAAAGAAAGATGATTTAAAGATGATTTCCTTCCCCCTCACATCCTAGAGAAGTCCCTGGATGGTGCAAACAGTCTGTGCTTGACTACTAAAGGTTGTCCGTTTGAACCTACCCAGTGTCACCACAGAAGAAAGTCCTGGCGATCTGCTTCTGTAAAGATTACAGCCAAGAAAACCCTATGGAGAAGTTCTACTCTGTAACACATGGGGTCACCATGAGTCGGAATCGACTTGACGGCAATCGTTTGGTACTTTTGAGGGGGGAGGTTCACCTCCTACAAAATGCCTGGTTACCCTGGCCCAGAGCTATCCTTTGATCCCTGTTCTCTCTCCTTTCCTGTAATTTCTTGCTACTCTCAGTGGGGTCCCGGAGCAGCAACATGGGCATCACTTGGGCAAATGTTGGAAATGCAGAACCTCAGGCCTCACCTCGGACCTTCTGAGGCAGAATCTACATCTCACAAGCTGCCCTGGCTATTCTTGCGCACATCATCGTCTGAGAAGCACTATTCCAGGGCACCATTTCTATCTACCTAGTTTGAAAGGGGTGAGAAAGGAAGAAAAGCATCTTTATTCCAATGAGACCACATCTTAGACAAAATTGCATTGATTTCATAGAGCTTGCTGCCATTCGAAGAATACCTCCTGGGGCAATTTAACCGATTCCAATGCCACAGACATTTATTAAGTATTTATTGTGTGCAAGGAGTCCCCAGGTGGTGCAGCTAACTGCCTGGCTGCTAACCTAAAGGTTAGCAGTTCCAGTTTCACCCAGAGGTGCCTCCAAAGAAAGGCCTGGTGATCTACTTCTGAAAAAAATAATCAACCATTAAAAACTCTATAGAGCACAATTCTACTCTGACACACATGGGGTCACGATGAGTCAGAGTCAACTCCACGGCAATTGGTCTTTGTGTGTATGTGTGTGTGCACAAAACACCAAATATTAGTGCTAAAGGAGATACAATGATAAGCGTTTATATAGCCCCTTCCTTAAGGCTATATAATCTAGTAAGAGACACAAAGCATACACCTAAATAACTCATGCAACTTAAAATATAATAAATACTATGAGAAATGAAAAAAAGATGCTAAAGATAGATTACTTGTGGGGGAGGTGGCTGGTAAAACTACCAGGACAACTTGCTGGAGTAAATGGCATTGAGCCCAGGGCTTGAAGGAGGGGAAAGCATTCCAGCAGGCAGAGAGAGAGGGGAAGGGAGGACATTTTGGGCCAAGAAGATCGCCCGTGCAAAGACGCTGGGGCAGCAGAGCCTGGGGGAAACACAGGGGACACAGCAGGTTCCCATGGTGGGCAGGTCAGCTTGGTAAGGGACAGCGGATAGGGTATCTGAGGGAGAAGTAAGGCTCAGGGGTGGCCTCTCGGCCCCCTGCCCTTCCCTCAGGAGCCCAGTCTTCTGAGCAATTCTGGCTGAGCAATCGCAGCCTCCCAGAACATGCTGGAACTGTTTCATCATCCAATATGTGGCCTCAGTGTTTGGGGGTGAAAGAGTCTCAGGAGCTGAGGAAAGCACAAGTCAAATAAAATGACAAAAGCAAAAGGAAAAGGATGCGTTATTCTTCTTCAAAAAGGGCGGGGTGGAGAAGGACCTTTTTAATAAAGCAGTTGGAACAGTATGTGGTGGTGCTCTGAATGCTGCAGTTAATTATCGTTAAGGTCATTATTATTTTGGGCACAGTTCCTTGCCATCTGGAGTTTAACCTTTTATACAATTTGAGGGTTTTTTTTTTTTTTTTTTGGCAATAAAGGTCTGTATGGTAATAGTTCTAATAGCTGATACATACATGTGCTTAGTACATGCCAACCCTTGTTGTAACAGCTTTACCTATAATAGCTCACTTAGTCCTCATAATAACCCTACGAGTTAGGCACTATTTTCATGCCCATTTTTCAGCTGGGGAAGCTGAGGTGCAGAGGCGTTAAGTAACTTGCCTAAGGTCACACAAGTGGCCAAATCAGGACAGGAGCACAGGCAGTCTGGCTTCAAAGCCACTCTCCAAGCTATTGTATCATACTGCTGCCATACCAGTATTGGTTCTGATTCTTACTTCTTTTTACATGCTAACTAGAACACGCCCAGCCTACCGTGTGGGTACTCACCATGTGGAAACCAGCAGAAAAAATGGTCAGTTGAAAAGTGCTGTGAGCAGCGATTCGGGAGATAAACTGCCTGGGCAAGTTTTAATGGAAGCCTTTTTAACCTGTTTCTTAATCTGTAAAATGGGGTGATGAGTCTACGTCATGGAGCTGTGAGGATTAAATGGATGACTTGTGTGGAGCGCCTGGCAAAAGTTGCTATGCATCCTCTCTGCCTCCTTTGTTATTATGAACTGATAACACTTACCATGTTCATGCCTTCTTTCAACAATTATTAAGCAGCTACTATGTGCCAGGCACTGTTTTAGATATTCAGGATAAGGCAGTAAACAAAACATACAAAAATGCCTGCCTTCACAGAGCTTACATTCTAGTTGGGGGAAAGAGACATGTTAAATGAGAGATGTGTTGGAGAGTGATAATTGCATGGGGAAAACCAAAGCAGGAGGTAAGAGAAGAATAAATAGTCTGGAAAGGCTCCACTGAGAAGAGGACCTTTAGCAGAGACCTGAGGGAGGCAAAGGAGAGAGTTATCCAGGGATCTGGGGGAAGAACATTCCCAGCCGAGGGAACAGGGCCAGGTGCTGCGGTGAGAATGGGCATGGTGCAGTCAGGTTCCTAACAGACTTTCTCCTCTTGCTGGTTCCTCACTGCTGCAAGTTTGGAAGCGCAAAACTAAAGTGAGTCTAAAACCAAGTTAATAAATTAACATCATCATAATCTCGCTTATAAATAAACACATACTCAGGCGTAGCAACCCAACCCAAACGCCTGCAACACAGATTCCCAGATCGGGGGAGAGGGAGCAAGGACAGGAAATGTTGTCACTTGGCTTTTCTATGGCAAGATGATTTACAGTCAAGGATTTACTGATGAGTGATCTTGGTAAGATATCATCACAACTTTTGAGACAGGTCAGCACTTGACAAGGCCCAGAGAGACACGATAACATTACCTAGTCAGGGAGGCCCCACAGGAACAAGAATATGACATTGATTAAACATGGTATTTCAGATTATCACTCATTGCCTCAAGCCACATGGCCTCCCCACTCCCACTCTGTTTCTTACTGATTTGGCTCCCATCCTTTAATTATATTTAGGGTCACTGGAGAATGCGTCATTAAAAAGAACCTACACCCACATCATGAGGAAAGAAAAGAATGGGCCCACTTTATTAGAGACTTTTCCAGAAAGACCAAAGCCCTAACAAGCATAAAAGCATCCTCTACCTGATATTTTGTTCCTTTAAAACATCAATGCAAGTTAATTTAAAAATGGAAAAGATAAAATCTATCCAGATAACTCAATGTCCAGGAGACACATATTACAAAAAGGGAAGTTTCCACCATTTGGTTCTGACTCTGAAAGGAGAAAAATATTGGCATGTTTTAGAACCAAACGAAATTGAGTCCCCTTCATGTTTATGCAAACAGTCAGCATTCCTAGGGAAAATGTCTATTTCTGGGAAGAGCATTAAATTTTAAGTGTCTCCATTTCTTTCTTACATTAATACTTGAAGCAAGGTTGATCGTGTGCCTCCAGGCTGGATAGGAATTCCTGATCATGTCTGCTTTTTAAACCGGAATCTCATTGCTACTCTTTTTCTCTCCTGTGGAACAGAGGATGTAGCTGGCCCACTGGCCATGAGCTATTATACCTGACTGGCATCTATGACAGAGAACACTTGAGGTATTTCTAGAAGCATTCACCATACGTGGTGTTTTCCTTTAGGTAGGAGGTAAAAAGAAACGAGGAAGCTCTGCAAAGACAGAAGCTACATGTTCAGAGCTCTGAGCTCACAGACCTGTATTTAAATGCCAGCTCTGCCACTTACTAGCTGTGACCTTCCGCATGGAAACTACTTAAGCTCTCTGACCCCCGTTTCCTTTCCTAAATAAAACAGGGATAACAATAACTTCCACCTCAGAGAGTTAAGATTGGCATAGTGTCTGTGAAGTGCCTGACATGTAGTAAGTGCTCAGTTAGCATTAGTTGTTGTTGTTACATAGTTACTACTGCAACCAAGTGTGTGTCTAAGATTACACTTAAAATGTTGGCTGAAGTGAAAGAAGCCAGACACAAGAGGCCACATATTGTATGGCTCCATTGATGTGAAATATCCAGGGTCAGCAAATCCATAGAGACAGAAAGCAGACCAGTGATTGCCAAAGGCTTGGAGTGGAGGTCGGGTGGGGTAGAAGGGTGACTGCTTAATGGATACAGGGTTTCCTTCTGGGGCCACTGAAATGTTCTGGAACAAGATAGTGGTGATGGTCACAGAACATTGGGAATGCACTAAATACCACTGAATACACTCTAAAATGGTGATTTTATGTTACCTGTATTTTACTGCAATTAAAAAAAAATGTTGGCAGCTTGTAATACTATTTTCTCTTCACAGTGTGGATCAGCCTCTATTATGTGGGTTTCTACGTGGTGATGACAGGGCTCTTCGCGCTGTGCATTTATGCGTTGATGCAGACAATCGACCCATACACACCAGACTATCAGGATCAATTAAAATCACCAGGTAAATATTAGAGTTGACTGGTTTAGCCCAGTATCAAGTACACCCAGAGACCAGAGTCCCTAGACACTGACATTCAGAGCAAAGCTGCAGCAGCAGTAACATTCAGTCCTGAATACACTCAGCCAGACATAAAATCCTTTCCCCCCCGGAATGAAGCCCAGAGAAGCAAGCACTTGCCTGGGCCCCCAGGGCTGCACGGACAGTGGGTAATGCTGGACGGCAATAAAAGCGGCCTCTGTGCTCATGTCTGCAATGAGCCTCGAAGGCAGCCACCTCGGCTGCCTAATTGGCTTTGGAAAACATCCCAAGTGCGTAGATGACCACTCAGTTTCTTTCAGTGAGGAAGATGACCCCAAATTATAAAGTCTGACTTTGGCTTTAGTTTTACTTACTAAAACAGAAGGTTTTTTTGTTATAGAGGGAAAAAATGGGATTTATATTCACTTATTTTATATGCATATATATGCACATAGAACATTTCTGGAAGGATACACAAGAATCTGTTAACAGAGAGTAGGCCCAGCAGATAAGGCATGAAGGAAGGGGAGAAGGAAAGAAAGAGTTTTGCTTTCCATTTAATGTCCTTCAGGATCTCTTCTGTGGGAATATATTACTCTCATAATAATAAATTTAAATTCAGAATATTAAATTGTCTTTATGTGCCATGCACTGCCCTGTACAAGGACAAAGGAGCCAAAGTAAGTTAAAGGCTTGAGCCAGAGGTTCAAGATGGTAGACTGAGCATACACTCTCTTCTCATTAAGGTAGTACTGGAATGATAAAGTAATTAATAACAAAACTGTAACAGGTCAGAAATGTTTAGAAAAGTTTAGAAGATAACAGCAAATAGGATCAGACTGACCAAGAATACCAAAAGCAAGAAAGAAAACCAAGAGCAGAGAAAAACACCCCTAAATCATCAATGGTAAAAGCTGTGCTTCACAGTGGAGCCCAGAGAAGCCCCAGGCTGGAGTCCACAAAGAGGAGTGTGTGAACCCTGCGGGCCACCAGCAGGACACTGCAACGGCTGGGCCCCTCCCCAGTCCCCAAGGATGTACAACAGCTTTCACTGCTTGGTTAACACTTAGACTGGATGTTGGAGCCTAGGAGAGAAGCAGAGAGAGCTTGGAGTGACTCTAGACCTCTACCTTGGAATCAGAGAATTGGGGAGGGGGCAGAGGAAAGAAAATGCTAAGCAGGAAATTTAATAAAATGCTCTACTCTGAGATTAAAATCTTTCTGATTTTGGCAGTTGTAGGGCTACGCAGCCTACCTGCCAGCTCTCCACACTTACCGAGAGCCCACAAAAGACCTTCTATTCAAGAGCACGCCCCCTGGAGCAACAGGCCCACACAACCATAGGACATGCACGCCATTTTCCTCTACCAAATCCACCCAGTTCTTCATTCACAAATATAAACTCATGGCTAAGGATTCTCAGATAACTCGGGGGTGGGATGGAGTAAGAAAGAGAAGAATCAAAAAGAAAAAGCAGAACTGAACCCAGAAGAAGCAGCAATAAATCAGAGATCTCATGAGAACTTAAATATGTTTTAACTAGCATCCTCAGAAAGATCAGAGATATTGGCACCCACTGAACAAGAACAGGCTATGAAAAAAGGAGCAGTCAAAGAAGAAGATTCTGGAAATTAAAAATATTGCCAAAATAAAAAATACCATGGAAAGAATTCATGGTAGCTCAAACATGACCAAAGCCAAGCTGGTGGTCTGGAGGCTGAAAGTGAGCAGATGTTCTAGGACAGAGAGACAGAGAGAAAAGTTAAAGCCCTCGCTTAAAAATGTAGAGTGATTCCAGACAGACAGAGCTGGAGAAAAATGTAGAACAAAATTCTAACTCACAAAAAAAGACCAGACTTACTGGTCTGACAGAGACTGGAGAAACCCCAAGCGTATGGCCCCCGGACACCCTCATAACTCAGTACTGAAGTCACTCCTGAGGTTCATCCTTCAGTCAAAGATTAGACAGGCCCATAAAACAAAACGAGACTAAATGGCCACACCAATCCAGGGGTAAGAACGAGAAGGCAGGAGGGGACAGGAAAGCTGGATGAACGGAAATGGAGAACCCAAGATCAAGAAGGGGAGAGTGTTGACACATCATGCGTTTGGCAATCAATGTCACAAAACAATATATGTATTAATTGTTTAATGAGAAACTAATTTACTCTGTAAACGTTCACCTAAAGCACAGTAATAAATAAATAAACAAATTAAAATGTAAAGAGTGACTCTCATCAGCAGGGGGTTGGTTAAATAAATGGTAGACTACTCACACAATGGAATACTACGCAGTCGGTCAAAAAAACATGACAAGCTGATAAGAAATGACTTGGAAAGACATTTACAATTGGCACCGGAAAATGAAAACAGAAGTATAATATGGATTGCAGGATCCCATTTATGCAACAAAAAAATACATACCTATGACACACATATGCGCATTTCTACATCTTTGTATTTACAGAAAAAATGTTTTAAAAGGATGCACGCTCAACTGTTGAGATGGGGGCAAAAGATGACTTTCGCTCTTACTTTCCTACGTTTCTGCATTTTGACTTTTTTAAAATTCACAATTAACGTATTGTTGGATTGCTTTTGTACTTAACCAAAACCACTGAGGACTTTTCAAATGTATGTGAAGATACAATTTCATTTAGGAACTCAATTTTAGATTCTGGATTAATCATCACCGTTCAAGCAGCAACAGAAAGTGCAACCAAGGGGAGGTAAATGCTTCCTCAGGCAAAGCACAGAAGAGAACTTCTTGTCTTGAAGCTGAAAGCTTCTCATCATGAGACATATTCAAGAACGGGCAACCTGCGTGCAGCACTGCACTGGGGAGGGCTGTGCAAGTTCAAGTCAGAATTGAGACAGTCAAGAGTCTACTGTGGACATGAGTCAGAGATAACAAGCTCATTGTACTCTGTGAATAACATACCAAATACTATTTTCTCAGGGTCAGTAGAGCCCCAATCTCTCTGGCTAGTAGGCTTGAATCCCACTCATCATCAGTGAATTCTCAGGGGCCTTTAATCCTTCGGTGATGCAAATGGTTAATGTGCTCGACTGCTAACTGAAAGGTTGAAGGTTTGAGTTCTCAGAAGTGATGCAGAAGAAAGGCCTGGTGATCTACTTGTGAAAAAAACAGCCATTGAAAACCCTAAGGAGCACAGTTCTACCCTGACACACATGGGGTCACCATGCGTCAGTTGACTTGCCAGCAACTGGCTGGTTGTTGCTGGTTTTTAATTCCTTACCATGATACGGCCTTTTGTCCTCGTGTTGCTGTCAAGTTTAACTCAATTCTAAATAAACCGAGAGGAATGGTTTCCTTGCACATGGAGTTTCCTTCCTTAAATCCTAAAGAGGTTTAGAAGAGCTTCCGCAGACACTTACTACATGACTTTGACCCCAATTATCTGAAACCTTGACCTATGCCCCCACAAAGTGGAGTAGTTCTGCATTCTACTCATCAGTTTCGCAGCAAACTGCTTGGGTAGGTGTGGACATCTGGAGAAACTGAATAACATCTGTGATGTTCTCTCTTTCCAGGGGTTACCTTAAGGCCAGATGTTTATGGAGACAAAGGTCTGCAAATTTTCTACAACGTTTCTGATAACAGAACCTGGACAGACCTAACACATATGCTTCACGAGTTCCTGGCAGGTAAGGTTAAAAAAAAAAACAAAAAACACCTTATAGAGTTTTGTTTTCATTTTCTCAATTAAATTTCACTCAGAAGCTCGAGGCCAAGCCAACACTTTTATACAACCTAAGTTGGTCTGGATGGCAGTCCTGCTAACCACACTGCTGGAGGAGGAGAGCAGGCAAGGATGCTGGCAGCAGACATATCAGGTCTGCTTACTAACTCATCTGCTCCTTTGGGATCTGTGCAGCCTATTCTCCAGCAGCTCAGAAGGCCAACATAAACTGCCCTTGGGAGAGATACTACTTCCAGGAAGGTTTTGATGCTCCTAACCACACCAAGTTCTCCTGCAAGTTCCCAGTAGATATGCTGCAAAACTGCTCTGGCCTGACAGACCCTAACTTTGGATTTGAAGACGGGAAGCCGTGCTTTATTATTAAAATGAACAGGGTGAGTATCAAGAATTTCGAGATCGGAGATCAAACGTGAAAACTTCTAGAGCCAGACACTGTAACAGCAGGGATCATGATGTTTAACGGTCGCACATTAAAACACACAGACTGAGGAATAAATGGTATCCTAGCCAGGGTTTCTAGTTAAGTGGCAGAGCTGAAATCTGAACCTAAGAGGGCTGCCTCTGCCCTTTACCACTTTTGTATACACTGGTTCAGCACGGACCCATCTCATTTGGCTCATGAACTTACTTTCTCGAAAATACAAATTTAAAGCCATCCATTCAGACACAAGCATTTATTCTGCAGTATATGGCTTTTGGATATTGTCAGGCAGAATACAGAACTATTTAAGGTTAGGCCTCCCTTCACGGCTAACTAGAGAAAGACGTGTACACATAACTACAAAGAAGCAAAAAAAACAATAAACAAAAAACAACCAAACCCGTTGCCATCAAGTTGATTACAGCTCATCGCAACCCTATAGGACCGAGTAGAACTGCCCATAGGGTTTCCAAGGAGCGGCAGTTGGATTCGAACTGCCAACCTTTTGGTTAGCAGCCAAGCTCTTAACCACTGCACCACCAGGGCTCCACAAAGAAGCCAGGGCAGTATATAAGGCATAATTCTGATTTCAGGCTGGAAGAGAATTTGGATATCATCTAGTGCAATGGTTTCCAATGCAGGTCATAGATTCACTTATGCATTTGATATTTACTAAGCACTTCAGGGGCAGGCACTGGCCGTGCTGCGGCGTCAGCAGTGCCCAAGGCAAACCTGCTTTCTCCAACGGCCGTAAAAAGAGCAAATAACGAGAAGGGCATAAGGGTGGCACTAATCTAGCCATGGGGCACAGCACTGTTTATTTTCCATTTTAAAAAGCCTAAAGCCACGCTCTTATCCACGGCACAGACATCCAGTGTCCTTGCTTTGAGCTGGAATTTCATCAGTGCCGAATGGTTGCTAAGACTTGTTACTCGGGACTCCCTGGCAGGCCTTTGGTTGGCAGGGGTGTATGTCTAATGGAGTCCCTGGGTGGTGCAAATGGTTAAGGGCTCGGCTGCTAACCAAAAGGTTTGTGGTTCAAGGCCACTCAGAGGCACCTCAGAAGAAAGGCCTGGCTATCTTGCTTGTGAAAAATCAGCCACTGAAAACTCTGTGGAGCACAGGTCTACTCTGACACACATGGGGTTGCCTTGGGTCGGAGTCGACTTGACGGCACCTGGTTTTAACACTCACAGAGCACAGAAAGAGGGCTCCAGAGCCTCGAGGAGGGAAAATCTACGGCTGGAGAAATTCAGAGATTTATGGGGGAGGCAGGTCCTGTTCTGAGCTTTTGGCACAAACAGGCAGACATGAAGGGCTGGGGTTTCAGATGGGAGGGTGAGTAAAGGCATGGGTTTGGAAAGCTGCAAGTTCGCCAGATCAGCAGAAGAATGTTTGCACAAAGAGCTCACAATGAGGTTGGAAAAGGGGAAGAAGGGGAAGGATATTTGTTGGTGCCTATTACCGACTTGGGGGACCCTGGTGGAGCAATGGTTAAGAGCTCAGCTGCTAACCAAAAGGTCGGCAGTTCAAATTCACCAGCTACTCCTTGGAAACTATGGGGGCAGTTCTACTCTGCCCGATAGGGTTGCTATGAGTTGATTCAACAGCAACCGTTTTACGACCGACTAGACGCTACACTGTACTTTAATACATCACTGAGGGCTAAGCTTGGAAGCCAGGCTAAAAAATCGGTTGAGTGATGGTGAAGACCATGCGCTACAGACCAGGCAGACCTAGGTTTTGTTCCAGCTCTGCCACTCAGTAGCTGGGTGAGCCAGGGCAAAGACCCTTATATCCCAGGCCAAGCAGACCTCTGGAGAGGTTGGTTGTCTTGAAACATGAGTTACTTAGATTCACTACGGGTTTACTAGAGTAGCAACCACTAGTCAGATCAAAGGTGATGTTCTCATTCCCCAACTGGAAGAACAAAGTCCTTGGAATGTCCCACCCCTGAGGCCCAGATAAGGAGCTAACTTGGCTTTCCGTCATATTCACAGACAGGGACCACTGCAGGCACATCCGCAATAGTAAGGGCTCTGGGTTCAGTTATGTCTGTGAATATAAACGCTTTTCCCCTTCTTCTAGATTGTCAACTTTCTCCCCAGCAACAGTACTGCTCCCAGAGTGGACTGCACATTCCTGGTAAGTACAAATCTTTTCTTGGCCAGTTTCTGTAATACGTTGGGGATTTAGCTCTCTCTCAGGCTGTTTCAGAAAAGGAGTGATTAGAAGTGAGTTTTGTTTATAGAGTTATACTATAAAATTTATGTATGGGAACAACTTTACACGTCTTCTCTAAGAAGACCTCTAATTCTTAGCCTGGTAAGTCTGTTGTATATAAGTCGCATGTGACATCATTTAACAGTTTTGTTACAGAGGACAAAAACCCAGTAAGAAGATGTTTCCTCTGTTGTTTTGCTTCAGAGAGCTCCTGGAATAGTTTATTACTAGCATAGTTTAGGATGTTTGGTGGTGATTTGGGGAAACCAAGGTACTTCTAGTACATGGTATTTTGTTCTTTTCTTTGCAAAAATATGTCCAGATTACCAACAGCTTTAGTTGTTAAATACTCTATGGTACGTGGGCTACTGAGAGTTGGCATTAATCTCAGGTTTATTTCAGTTATTTCCAAAACTAGTTTTAAAGTACAGCATTAAAAATACCGGATTTGCTTTCATAAAATATTCTCTAAAGTTTCTTTTGACCATTGTATGAGAAACCAAGAGTTCAGTTGCTATTAACAATTTAGCAATGTAAATTTACAATGTAATACTCAGGTATTACATAGAGACATCACATCCCTTTAAAGCCTCCATTCTCTTCTGGATACAGTTGTGGGTTTCTTTCTTTCAGTCATTTTAACCACACATGTGTAAACTGACTTGAGATTTTAATAGACATGAAAGCATTCGTCATCTAGTCTTTAAGTTTAAACTATACATTGTACAGTTGGCTAATTCTGATAATGAAAGGAAATAAATCTCAGAAAAACGTTTATTAACTCCCAGTCACTCAAACGTTTAAACAAGTTGTGGCAAAACCAGCACATACCAGCTATAATGGCTCTCATTTCCGCATGCAGATAAGTGAGCAAATGCTCAACTTCATCATATACCTGTGTTTTCTCAGTAAGACTTCAAAACGGTAAAAATCCAACTTTTGGTAAGTTACCAGGGTTTTTGCATATTAACAAATTACTTTCCTAACAGGGCCTGGGTACTGATTCTAAAGATTAAATCGTTTGTAATTACTATGCAAGAAAGCGTCATCACCTGCACAGCGCACACATAGACAAGACTCTAATTTAATCATGCACTGGCTTCTCCTCCCTCAGGAGGACCACAAGGACAGCCCGCCCCTGGAGGTTGAGTACTACCCACCCAACGGCACCTTCAGCCTGCATTACTTCCCTTACTACGGGAAGAAAGCTCAGGTATGTTTGCTTTGCTTTTCCTGGACGACAGCCCCCTTCCCCCCGAATCATCTCAAATTTAGCAATGCTTAACAAAAAGAAAGCAATGTTTTTATTGATAAAAATGAAATAAAGGCATTACTTAGTGCCAGCCCTCACCACTTAATGGTCCGATGTCCCCAAACCCACTTCTCCTAACTACCTGAAAACACATTACTCTCATGAAATACGTATGAAATCTAACTCTTTTACTTTTGGAGAGGCTCCTAAATCCTTTAAGACAGCTGCCTATCCATTTGAAAGCATTTCTTCCATAGCTCATGTATTTTCCCCTTCATTTTATTTTTATATTAATTTTCACCAAATACGTTAAGAAGTTTAACTGGCAATTGTTATTGTCTGTTCCCTCCAGACCAATTCTAAGGGGGAAATATTTTTTATCCTAGTAAATTCTAGAGTATGTATTAAAGCTGATACCAATCTATTCAATAGGAAACAACCCACTGAGTGGATTCCGACTCACAGCTACCCTATAGGACAGAGTGGAACTGCCCCTTAGGGTTTCAAGAAGCAGCTGGTGGATTAGAACTGCCGACCTTTTGGTTAGCAGCCAAGCTCTTAGCTACTGTGCCACTAGGGCTCCATTAAATAGGGAAGGTGAACTGAAAGTTCAATGATCACTCTAGGTCTTATTCTGAGATAGGACGTACATAAGAAACATCTCTTTGTCAAATTTTCTGCTCTTGCTACCAACATAACTAGATATTGATACTTTGCTTGTTTAAAAAGGAACCCTTGTGGCACAGTGGCTAAGCCCTGGGCTGCTAACTGAAAGGTTGGCAGTTTGAACCCACCAGCAGCTCCATCAGAGAAAAGACTTGGCGATCTGCTCCCATAAAGATTACAGCCTAGAAAACCCTATGGGACAGTTCTAACTCTGTCATATGGCGTTGCTATGAGTTGGAATTGACTCGACAAGGACACAACAATAACCCTTGTTTATACAATTTTTTCCTTGAATGTCAAGAGATTTTTTTAAACATCTAAGCTTTTTGTACTTCTATTTCAGCCCCAATATAAAAACCCATTGGTTGCAGCAAAATTTCTCAACATTCCCAAGAATACAGAAGTTGTCATCGTGTGCAAAATCCTTGCAGAATATGTTACCTTCGACAATCCCCATGACCCATATGAAGGAAAAGTGGAGTTCAAACTTAAAATTCAGAAGTAAACTAGCAAGAGTAGGTATACTAGAATTTTGGTAAGACTCAAGAAGATGGGTCATACCCTGCAGCCTAACTTATAAACCATCATCTTCTTGGTTGGTCTTAATGCACCTGCTGGTTCCTTACCAAATCACCTTTAAAAACATTTTAGAATATCAATCCTAAAGTCAATTGGTAACTCCAGAGAGGCTTTTAGGTGTAAAGTACTTATGGTTAGTATCAGCGGTTTCTTATTAAATCTTTATTCTTCTTTCTTTAGATAGAATCTGTAGCTACAATAAAAATGCTGGGCTAACATGGTAACCGAAAGGCAGCAATTATCCAATTAACAGGACACAAGATGATTCATCTCTATTTAGAAGTTGCTTTTCTTACTATATTTTTCTATACTGTAATATGAACCATTTGCACATTAATATGAAAACTACTAATGCACTGATGATATAAAACATGACTTACGATAATGTACATTCTGAATCCTTGCTTTGAAGAAAGCAGCTCCTAAACTGTAGAAATACATTAAAGTTACTCTTATTCTACACACACAAAAAAGTCATGTCTTTTCTGATATGGAGACAAAACTAACTAGAAATTAAACATTTCCCTTAAAAAAAAAACTTATTTTTAAACGTCCGTTACAAGTCAGGAAAATTACCACAACAGTGGTGGTGTGGTGTTGTCAACTAAAAACCTTCACGCATAGTGACAAGTAGCAAAACAAAGCATCTGGAGAAAGGGAAAAAAAACTTATAAATATTTTGTAAGGTTAATTGAATCAATTTATTGGGCAACTATACTACGGATGCAACAATGGGCTGAAACAGGATTGTGAGGATGGTGCAGGACCCACAGCACCTAACAACATACTATGTTGAACATTATATCAAACATTTTTCATTGCTTACCCCTGTGAATAAAGAAATTTTGAGGCAACATGATCAATGTGCATGTTTATTTACATTAGACAGCTACATTATTATGCTAACATATTTGGTACTTTATAAAACACACAAAAAGCATTTTTAAAGGCGATACAAACAATGTGAATGTCTCACATTTCTTCCCAGACCCCCGTGGTTTGTTTTGGTGCAGCCCCTTCAGAGACCACTCCTGCATACAAAAAAACAAACAAAAAAACCCACTGCCGTGGAGTCAATTCCGACTCATAGTGATCCTATAGGACAGAGTAGAACTGTCCCATAAATAAGGTTTCCAAGGAGTGCCTGGTGGATTCGAACTGCCAACCTTTTGGTTAGCAGCTGTAGCTCTTAACTACTATGCCACCAGGGTTTCCAGTGAAGGGCAAAACACAACTAAGGTGGTTTCCAGCACACATGAAGTGGGGAAGGACATAAGCCTATGACAAGATGTCTGACAGTATTAGCAATAATTAACAAGCACCAGATTAGTATTAAGCACAATAATTACCACAGGCAGGAACAAGCACTGCTAGATTGCTAGTCAGGAGAGCTTTATGGAAGAGGTAGGGCGATCACACCTACTCAGAGCAACGCATCTCACACTTCAGTGTGCACGGGAGGCACCTGGCCACCTTGTTAAACGCAGGCTCCGATTAGGCAGGTCTAGAGTGGGGCACCCAAGATTCTGCCTTTCTAATAAGCTTCCAGGTGAACGCGTTGCTTTGGGCAGTAAGGTTTTAAAGGATAGGAAGGTGTTTGGAAACAGTCATTGAGGATTTTCTCTTTTTAGCAAGCCCAGAAACAGAATTAAAGTGTTGTTTTCAAATGCACCTCCAAGTGGTGTGCAAGATGAACTGAAAGGAAATTATTACCGGAAACCAGAAGGGAGGAGGTTAGGGCTGACCCAGGGTAGTGGCTCCGAGAGCAGGGAGCAACTGTCTGAATTTGCTGACTCGGTCAAGTTGGGGAATAAGGAGAGAAACCTAACAGGGAGAGGTAGTTTTACCTCAGATGAAGACGAACAGTTGTATTGTGAACAGGAATAAGAAAATCAGTTATAAATACTGAGAGGACAGCAGAACACTCAAAATGGGTACATCTCCCAACAGGATGAAATGGGGGACTGGAAGCATGAGAGCAAATGGGGCTGGACATATTACCTCAGAAATGGCAGCCCAAGCCCTAAGGGTTAATGAGAGCTCTGGGAAGAAAGCTCAGAGATGGGGGCTGAGTCGGGTAGGGTAAGATGATAATAGCTAACCTGGTACTAAGCACCTTGCATGGACTGTCCCTTTTAGTGCTCACTACCCTATGAGGTAGGTACTATTATTCCCATTTTACAGATAAGGAAACTGAGACTCACAAAGGCTAAAACCCAGGCAGTTTAACAGACTCTCCTTTCTTGGAAAGTTAAGGTTATAAGAAACTATGTTGATAGCAGATGGCAGTTGATCTACTTTTAAAAAAACATCTTAGTTACAACAAAGTTTGTAACACTGTTGGTTCTACCTCTGCCTTTCCTTCCCCTCCCCACAAGCCTGAGGGCGCTGCACCACAAGACCACTAAACTTGCCCTGGAAAGAAACTCTTCAGCTGCGAATTCTTGAAAATGTGGGGTAATTTGAGAATGTGTCTTAGACAGGGATCAATCCAAACCTCTTTGGGAGGTGGTACGAGAGCACGGGTTTTCAAGTCCGAGACCTGGGTTCAAGTCTTCGCTCTTCTCCCTCCCAGCTAACTGATTTATCTCTGAGCCTCTGCTTCTTCACTTATACCTACTTTAGGGTGCTATAAGATTAAATTATATATATATACATGTACACATATATATGTATATATATGAAATCACTGAGCACAGTGCAAGGCACAAAGCAAGTGCTCAAATAAATGTCACCTGTTATTGTTGTTGTAGTAATAACACAACACAAAATCAACATTCTGATCCAAATAACCAAAAGCTTTCATGTTTTCAGAAGTCAAGTACTCACTTACCTTTAATGCTTTAACCCTTATAAAGCTTCAACTTTCAAAGTATACATCTCACCCCTAGGTTACACAATACTCAGACCAGTTTTTCAAAAGATTGCCAGGACATTTTAGTATTAGATGGGTGCTAATAAGCAAGGACAGTGACTGGGGACCAGGTGTGGATGCCAGCCCAGGACAGTCCTGCTGGGGAGAGCAGTCAGGCCTGCTCTGAGCCCTGGTTTCCTAGATGCCCAGGCTTTGCCCACCGCACCGTCAGGCTTTACCCACCGCACCGTTCAGGCTTTGGAAGTGCTTGTGAGGAGGAGGTGGTGGGGTACAGAGGCACTTAAGTGTCCCATCAACATCTCAAAACCAAATAAATGAAACCCTCACACCTTCTTTTTTCCCATTTTCCCCTTTCCCCTCTGTGTATGTGTTACCTGTGTGGAAAGCTGTTTCTGACACAGTTCCTGAACTGCTATTACTTCTGATACGACCTCAGTATAAAACAGATTTCTGAATAGCTGGCTCCGCCATACAATTTTATTAAGCATACACACATGTGCGAAGCATGAGACCCCAGGAAAATATCAGTTATCAGAAGCCAGCCGTCAACAGAGCACCTGCAGTTACTAATTAGGAAAAGCAGGTGGGATAATATGGGCAGATCTCAAATATTTTCCCAGTATTAACCAGTATCGATATTAATTAACCTGAAATCTACTCTGTCTACTTCTCATTCCCGAGAGATTCTCCCCTCCTACTTCCCAGAGGAAATAAAAATGAACTCTATCCTTTTCTTATCCAAACTATCTCTTGGAAGATCCATCCCTGCAGTCGGGGATCATCCCTCCCAGTGTCCCAGATCCTCTACATCTCTGCCCTCCAGCTGCTTCCTTCCCCAAAGCTGAAAAAACGCCTCCTAAACACAGTAAGTCCCTGGGCCTGAGTCTCCACTTTCTCTTTACTCTCAAAGCTAAGGTTTCTGCAAAGTAGTCTGTGAATTATCACACTTCCAACTTGCTCACTTTCCACTGACTGTTCAACCCACCAAAACTGGCTTCGCCCACCACTCACCAAAAAAAACTGTTAAGGTGGCTGACAAGGTCCTAACTTGACGATCCCAGAAGGGGTCTGCAGCCCTGTCTGAGCTCTTTGGGGGACCTGACACTCACGTCCTTCCCCACGCAGCCTCTTGCTCCCAGGCCTTCCCTGACCCCATGAGCTTTGCTCCCCACCTACGTCTTCACACTCACCGTATCTCCTCCACCAGCATCCTGCCCTTCTCTCTCCCAGCAACCACGTTCTCTCCCATGGTCCTAACCACCACTTCTCACTCCCGAGTTAGTACCTCTGCTAGACCACTCCTCGGGGTTCCAGATGTGCAGGTCACCTCCACCAAGACCTCCCCCAAGACCCTCAAACTGAGTACTGCACGGCCAACACTTCACACTCCCACAAAGTGCTCCACCAAAACCAAAATAACAACATCTAACCCATAACCAGAGGCTAGAATGTTGCTATGGTGCTGAACAGGTTTCAGTGCAGCTTCCAGACTAAGATAGACCAGAAAGGAAGGCCTGGCAACCTACTTCCGAAAAATCAGCCAATGAAACCTAATGGATCACAATGGTCCAATCCTGTTGCGCATGGGGCTGCCATGAGTCGGGCCCGACTCCACGGCAGCTAGCAACAACCCATAACCGAGTCCTGCCTATGCTGCCTCTGAAATCTTCCCCAAGCTCACTACACTGCTTTAGTCCAAAAGCTCACCATCTCGAGCTCAGACATACTAGAACCCCAGCTCCCTGCTTCCAACTCACCTTCCCCCGTCCAGCCTTGACGCTGACACCAGTAACCACTGTTAATGGAAACGGGATGCCGCTTCATCCCCATGCCCTTCAGAGTAAGCCCAAATACCTCTGCTACAACACCCGGCCTAATCGCCCCTGACGGTCACCTCTGTGCCTTAGCACAGGGCAAGACACACGGGGCTCCCACATAAACTCACTGACTGAGCAAAGGCACCGAAAACGGGGCTGCTAGGCATGTGCCCGAATAAGAAAATGCTGATGACACTGTCCCCACAGAAAATTCTAAGGTTCTGCTCTCCCACTAATTCTGTATGTTCTACTACCCTCGGGTTAGGAGCCCTGACAGCACAACAGGTAAGCACCGCTGTTAACCAAAAAGTTGGCGGTTCAAATCCACTAACAGCTCCACAGGAGAAAAGACCTGGCGATCTGCCCCCATAAAAATTCAGCCTAGAAAACCCTATGGGGCAGCTCTACTCTGTCCTATGGGGTTGCTATGAGTTGGAATCAACTGGACAGCACACACCAACCACCACTACCACCCTCCAGATATTTAAAATAACTCGAGATTAGGAAAAAAAATAACTAAGACTTGTTTCCACTTTCCTCTTCTAAACAACCGACTCTTTTATGAAGCCTATGCAGTCTTTCCTTTAAACATTTAGTGATTTATTTATCCAACTCAAATAAAATGCTTAATTCTCCTTCCATACCTTACAATCTTATTCTTTTTCTGAAAGTCAAAATACAAAATGTCTCAATTTTTAGAGTTCAGGAAGAAGTCAAGGCACAAACTTCTCCTCCCAGAAAAGTAAGCATCCCTTTGCTCTGTGCACACCATGAACTCCTCCCCTGAGCTTTCCACAGGCTGGAGAGGGGCACCCTGGTTCTCCTGTCTCTGCACCAATGTTCAGGAGAACTCCAGAACAAGCAATCAGAGTCCCGCTGGCCAGGAGAGCACCTCTTCAAGGGGACTTGAGACAGTGGACGGAATTATACGCCAATGAAATGAATGACCAACACACCACTGGCCCTGCCAACCTACGATTTCACTCAATTGTAAAAGCAAGACTAATGATAAAATAATTTCTAGATAATACTCCTGAATTAGAGAAACACAGAGCTTGTTTAAAATGCCCATGCGCGTTTTATTAATAAAAACTAACAGTGCCAAGTTAAACAAGTCAAACAATTAAAGTCTCTTTATATTCCATAAAATATTACAGAAAAGTTTATTTGTGTTTCAATAGAAAGGCTATCACCTGAGAACAGGCAGCTAACAGCAACTGTGCGGTTAATGGTTTTGTGAATAGATTTTAAAAGAGACTACTGCCTGTTCTGAAATTCCTTTTTCTTTTTATAAAAAAAGAACTATTAAAAATGATTGACAAATTTTGAGTTAAAAAACTGTTAAAACATTCTCTATATTTAATTTCAACTTT